CGTAAACCTTTGTAACACCTCTAAATTTAACATTAGTAACAACAACAGAGCTTATATATAAAGATAAAAGCATAAACAAACATAGACAATAACTCATAAGCCTGTTAATTGAATAAATAAAAACTTAGAATGTGTAGAAGGTAAGATTAATGATCTTAATTGTGCAAAGATTTTTTCCATCTTTGGGGTATCAGGAAGAAGTTACCATGGGTGTACTTTATTTCAAGGCAACTGACATGAGAGCAAAGTATCTACAGAAATTTTTCATACTGAGCCAGGCAGCATCAACATGACATCACAAAGGGTAGAGAGTGTGGTCTCCATGCAGATGGCTTTATCACCAGTCTAGCTGAGGTAACAGTTCAGGAACCCAGCTAAGTGAATCAAGATTTAAACTGAGAGTCACTATCTTATGCTGTGGTTCTAGATTTAAAAGAGAGTGATCAGGAATCCTGGTAGGTCCACAGATTTTGTAAGTAGATCCCAGGTGTTTTTATTTAATTCCTATATTTTAGGAAAAGTGAAGACTTTGGAGACAAAGAGGAGTAAAAGCAGGACTTATCTTCATCATAGCCCCAATTTGTATTGTAGCAGTTCTGAGATTTGTAATCAGATTGCATAAAAACAGAATGAAACCTACCCCTGGATCTTCTTTACAGGTAACTTATTCAAATAAATGACACTTTATTCATCACATGAAGTCATTTTAGTGAGGCCCAATTTTCAATGTCTTTCATAATTTAATATACATTTTTGTAAGGATTTTTATAAAGTTCCTTGAAAAAAGATACTGTTTTCTATTAGAGTGTGAAGTTCTTTGTCCAAGCCTCAAAATACACATTTTACATTTTTGTGGCTAGCTAAATTTTGAGTGACTGCCATTAGTAAAGCCACTCCCCTTACTAATGCCATTTAGAACATTCCTACATTACATTTCAGTTAATTAGACTGACTTGAGATAAAAATAAATCTGATCTGATTGGAGGATATTGACATCAGCCTGTTGCTATAGTGAGATCCCTGCCTAATAACCATCATCTTGTTGGGGGATCAATAGAATTAGACCTCAAGACTGGACTACTGCAATGCGCTCTACATGGGGCAGCCCTTGAAGAGTATTCGGAGACTTCAACTCATCCAGAATGAAGCCGCGCGAGCGATTGTGGATGCACCTCGGTACACCCACATTACACCTATCCTCCGTGAGCTGCACTGGCTACCGATCGGTCTCCGGATACGCTTCAAAGTGCTAGTCGTAACTTATAAAGCCCTTCATGGTATTGGACCTGGGTACTTGAGAGACTGCCTGCTGCCAATTACCTCCCAAAGACCCATTAGATCACACAGGGTCGGCCTCCTCCGGGTTCCATCCACCAGCCAATGCCATCTGGCTATTACCCGGGGGAGGGCTTTCTCTGTGGCAGCTCCGGCCCTTTGGAACGAACTCCCTGCAGAGATTCGGACCCTCACCTCTCTCAGGCCTTCCGGAAAGCCGTCAAAACCTGGCTGTGCCGGCAGGCCTGGGGTTGATGAGTTCCCCTCCCCTCTCGACCTGTATGGCTGTGTGATTCTTGGCTATTTTAATTACTTGTATTGTGTTCTATGTTCCCTTTTCCCTCTTTGAGTTGTTCGCCACCCTGAGTCCCTCCCGGAAAAGGGCGGCATATAAATAAAATAAATCTAAATCTAAATCTAATTTACTTAATAAGCCTGGGACTGTCAGCCCAATAAAGTTTCTGTGGGAATTTGAGGTTTACTTTGAAGGAGGAATAGCTATAGACTATAATTTCAAAGTTTTCAAGGCAAATACATCTCTAAATGTCTCCCAACTTTTCAAGTAAAGGTAGGACATTAGAAGCTCTGCCATTGCTGAAATATTTCATTCTATTGATTTTCTAAAAGTCTTTGAAAACCAGGCATCCAGGTCTACATTCTACCTTTTGTTGGCACTGTTGGGAGCATTTTGTACAGTGAACCAAATCTATCTTTCACTGTCATACATGGTTTCTTCTGCCTATTATTTCTTTAATATATTTTGTAAAAATTGTTCTAGTGTTAGGTGCCCTTAAATATTATTTATTTATTTATTTAAACATCCAATGGGTGTTCTAAGAAATTAAGATGATTGATTTGTTTAGATGATTGCACTATCAGCATCAGTAGATCCAGCAGATATACACTTGAGATTAACAGATTAACCAAGTTGGAAGAGACCTTGTAGGTTATCTAGTCAAAATGATGATTAAATATAAATCTTTAACTCAAGTGGAAAAAAGACTGTAAAATGGGAGCATTTAAATGTGAATTTATAGCTTTAAATATAAATGTCCCTTTATATTTTAGTTGATATTTAAATGGTTGGATATGTTATCTTCCTTTTCATAAACTCAAATATAGGTATAGATTTTACTGTGTATTACACTATAGCCTCATTTTATAAAATTTTATTTTCCTACTTCATTCTTGGGATGATGCTTCTTGATTTTTACACTGTGAACATCCCATATACATTTTTTTAAAAATGTTTATTTCCTTGAGGTAATATACAACTGGTTTCACACTGCCTGGATGTTATCTACAGCAAATAAAGGATAAAACACTAAGCATGTCAAACAGTCATATTAAAAAGTACACACAAGAGATTTGATCAGCAACCTCAAGATGTCATTAATCCTCTAAAAGCCCCCAGGCCTGGTAACAAAGCGTGGCACGACAAAACTGCGCTGGTCAAAATCACGGCGATAAAATCGCAGCGCTAAAGCCGCGACGTCATCACCGCGCGTCATCACCGCCGCGACAACAGCGCGGCAACAGAAGGGCACTTTAAAACGGCGCTGCAGCAGAAAGCCGACTTCATTTAAGGTAAGCGTTAGGATTAGGTTTAGGTTTAGGGGTTTGTTTTAGGGTTTGTTTTAGGGTTAGGTTTAGGGTTAAGTTTAGGGTTAGGTTTAGGGTTAGGGTTAGGGTTAGGGTTAGGGTTAGGGTTAGGGTTAGGGTTAGGGTTAGGG